TGCCCAGCAGAACTGCTAGAGTAAACTTGAGCGGATGATTTCAGCTACTTAATTGATTAAAGCTCCCTGTGGCCACAAATAGGCAGGAGAACACCGAAAGTGATTCTTCTTGCTGTTAGGATACTATCGCCATTCTCAAACTGCCACCTGACCCATCAGGTGGACTGTGAGCTTGAGCCTAAGAAGCCGGCCTTGTCTGTAAGTCAGAAGGGTGAGAGAAGGCATTGGAATGATCCAGAAGTGGAGTGCAGTCAGCTCAAGATTATTTGCATATTAGGTTGCCTGGAAATGCTTTTTATTGTTCCCATCTGTTCATCAAGGAGCCTTTCGTTTAAAAGAAAGAAGAAAAAAAAAATCCCTTCTTTGGAGATAGAGGGTACGTTAGTGATTAAGTTAGAGGACTGTATTTTCTGTTTGTTAATTTTCCATATGTGATTTTACTGTGTACCCAGAAAATTCAAGGCCAGTCAGAATAAGGGCAAATCCACCTAGATAACTAGGAAGAAAAGAAGCCAGAAACTCTGGGCATTTTTATACAGGGCAGAAAGAGTATGGATTTAAATGGTATACTCTATATAATTCATTACTTTTCAGTGGCCTAAGCTGTGATTTCTGTGTTGCTGACGCAGGCTGCGGGGAAGCACAGTGTGTCTCTGTATTGCAAAGGTGCCTTTTGAGAGTGACTTGATCATTTAGTAAAGACTTATACATGGGGCAGGTAGAAGTCAAGCCACATAGCTTCTGGTTCTGATGTTGTTCTGAGAAATGGGCGCTGACCACAGAATGAAGAATTTATCAAGAAATCTGGTAGAGAAACCTTTTCTTCACCCTTGGAGCCTCCTAAAAACCCCTTTAACATCCTGTTTCCCTTTTCATTGTGTGGGAGCAACAGGTCAGGGATTGCCTAAGGCATCCCTGCAAATTGGCACCTGCCTTTGTGACTAAAACCTAGAAGGAAAGAGTGTTCAAGAAAAGGGGGCCAGGGAAATTGAATAGGCCTGACTATTCCTCCAGGTTTTAAAGGTACCTCTCTGGGAAGACTGGGTTCTGAATGCCTTGGCCAGCCAGGAGAGGCTAAGGTCACCTTCCGACTCAAGCAGAATTATCTTCTGAAAGGAGTCTCTTGATCAGGTACAGGTTTAGGGAACAATAGAGGTAGGTACCAGAGGAGAGGCATGGAAACACAATCCTTCTGCCCACATTTTTCCCTCTTGTTTTTTTGTGACAGTCACAGAACTGTCACCTGTGACAGTCAGGGAACTGTGACAGGTGTTACCCCGTTCTTTCCAGCAGCTCCATTCCCTCCTCTCCCCCTTGGTGTTTGAGATCATAAAGTTGTTCCCAGTGCTCGGTGCTTGTTCCACAGTACGGGAGTGGAGGATCTTCCATGGAGTGTCGCTCTGCCTATCCCAGTAGGTAGAAAAGCATTGGGAGAACTTCCCGTGCTGGCACAGCCGTTCTACCTATGGAATAAGGATGGGGTGGGAGTTCTTTTTCTTCCCAGCCTGTTCCATGTCTCTTGTCTTCTGAGATCATCAGCAACCCAAGACCTCTCACACAGCCTAATCTTTGTCATGCTTTGTATAAATTCTTTGCCCATGCTGCCTGTTTCTTGGAATTATGCAGCCTATTCCTACTGTGTGCCCATAGGGTTACAGGTCCAGCCCAGCTTTTCTCCAGGTTTATTCTTTTTCACTGTTTTCTAAGCAGCCACTTGCCTTCAGCCTTTATCCATCTCTTTAGTCTTGTTACATCACAGGGATGTACAATTGACTCATGCTTTCAAGAAATGAGGAAGACAGACTGATGTTGGAGGACTTGAGTCTGCTTCTTGGGGAACTCAGCTATTTTGCACGTGCCCTTGCTCTTCTATCTTGGGGATGTTTTCAGTTTCTGTCCCTTGCCTTCTTATGCATGGCCTTTGATCACACTGAATCTACAAAGCCCAAAACAGACTGATCTCTTTTTATTTACTTTAGTATTCTGGTACAGAAATGACTGTTTTCTGCTACAGTGTGTTCGTCTCAAACAAATAATGGCTCTTTGTCTCAAATTAAAATTACAGTTTTGCTTTCTAGAATATTTTTCAAAGAAGCGAGTTAGTGTCCTTCTAGAAAACGAACATATCCCACACTCTCTTGAGGATCTTTCTAGTTTTGCCCCTTCCTTCTACTGACATCACCAAAGCAAAAATCCTGTCATCAAGAACACGCTTGGCAGCCACAGATTTTCTTAGGTATTTTATAAATTAGATCAGATAGTCATTCGTGATCTCTGTTGTTTTTCCAGTCTGAAGCAGGTGACCCCTACACTGATATAGGCAGATGTGTATGAGAAACTGGGAACGGTACTGACAAGATGCGGACCGTGTGGAACCACATGGACTCCATGCCTGTCTATCTTCTGCTTAAAAGACGCTCAATAGAGAGGCTGGTGTTTGGTGCTTAAATGAGTGAAGAGATGGTCTTTAAAATGTTGGTGCCCCCAGCGTAGCAATTATCAAGAAGGTGAGGAGCGATAGGTGCGCGATGACTGATAAGATGAATGGAGCATTCGTTGATGGCGAGAGCCAAAGGAGTTAGGTGTATCACTGAAAGGAAACTGGATGAGCAAAGCTTCGAAAGGGATGAGAATATAGGAACCCATCCACAGGGCATCCTGAACCAATGGAAGTCTTATAATTTTAAAGGACCAAGTAGGATAAAATAAGACACCACATCTAAAGGCTGAAGGAGACACTGGATCGTTCCTGCTCAAAACAAAACCAAACAAAAGCCACCACACTGTGGCTTTAAGAAGGAGAGGAATGAGCCAGAGCAACTTCAGCATGGCCTCAGCTCAGGAGTTGTTGCTCGTATTTCTGCTCTAAAACATTTACGCTGCTTGCAGTGGTATCTCTGACATGAACACAGTGGGCTGCAGATTAATTTGTAGGTTTTTAAATAAACATAAAATTCTATTGTCAAATTTCTAAAGACAAATTTGATTTCCTTATGAGAAACCATTATTAGCAAAGAAATGAGGAGAGCACAGAAGTCTGGTTATAAAATGTAACATTGGAGAGCTAAATGGCTAACGGTATAGTAAAAGGGGAAATCTGCAGGAAGAGTCAGTAAGAAGTTCTCATGATTTCTTTAGGACATAATGTGAGGTGATTTTTACTATAAGGAGGGAGCCATGTGTAACTGATTTGGAATTGCATATTTGCTGTGTATCTTATGGACAACACACATATATAGGCAGTCATCTAGAATTCACAGAAAACCCTGAAGCAAGAATCAAAATGGAGGACAAAGAAATGAAAAAGTGTTGACTAATTCCCTGAGCTTGTTTAAAGAACCAATCATAAAGGAAGCATTGGGTGCTCTAGATAGATGCTGACATTGTGCTTTGCTGCGAGCCTCCTAAAAGCTGAGAGATGGGAGACAAAAATCCTAGCATCTAGAGGTTTAGACTTGTCCGCAGTTATCTCTAAGATGACATTGGAACATGACTCGCAAATGTGCAGTTGATAAATAAACATCCTGGGCATCAGGTTTTTACATGTGTGAAATGAGGACCTACGCAGGGATCTTATTTTCTGTTAGGCATCTGACAGTTTGGAGAGCAACAGGGTATACCTGCACGAGCTGACTGACACACAGTACCAGAGAGGGGCCAGCCCCTTTTCTAATACAGTCATGCAGAATGAGCACACCAAGTCTTCCATGGGTCAGTCAGAAAAGGAATGCCTGCATCCAGTCAGAGCTGGACAGAGTCCAGATTGCAAGCCTTTGTTCTGGCTGGAAGGTTGAGCTAAACTAGGATTAAATTTAATAGGATTAGGTGTAAAGTTCCACTTGTGTTACTTTTGTAAGACAACTAATTAAGTTGCAGTCGACTGGGCTAAAAACAGTTGCTGTGAAAAAAGGCTGAGGGTTTTATACCCCGAGGGCTCAGGAGTGAAATGAGTTTGTTTGGAAAAGACAGTTACAGTGAGTGACAGATGCGTGGACTGGCTGGCTAGAGCCAGCGTCACACAGAAATCCTCAGCGCTGCTTAATGTGACCTCTGTGCGTGTCATTGGATGTGACCATATCTCTTGAGTCCGGGTGGATTGGTTATTTTCTTTTGTGAATCTTTATAATTGGTGGAAATTAGGAGCATTAGGAGAAATCTGTGAAAGACACGGTATTAAACCGTTAAGTGTTGAAAAGGGGATAATTTCCTTCCCACCCATCCTGCCTGAAAAACAGTCTATGTGTTGCAGTTTGCATTATGACGCCGTTTTTTATTTCTTGGTGTCATCAATTCTTGGGACCTCAGCATGGCATGATTTTGGCATTCAAAATTATGTATTGAAAACTTCACTTCTGAAGTTAATTGTTCTACATTGAGCTCTTAAATGTGTCGGAAGTATGGTAAATATTTTAGGGTAGGCATTTATCAATATTTCATAAACCCCCAAAAATTGAAAATAATCCAAGAACTCTTTGAAAAGATATATTTTTATGTATGTGTAATTTTTTTTTTTTTCTGGGAAAGACTCCAACACTTTCATCAGATTCTCAAATAATATAAAAATTGGACCTTTCCCTTTGCACCTACACAACTTGTCTCTTCTGGTGTGTAAACAGAGAGGTACCTTGATTGTTGCCTCCTGTCTTATTTTGAGAGCAGCCAACAGATCTTCCTTGAAATGCCAGCGACTTCCACCCATTGAGACTTGAAAAGAGTCACAGGCAGGGACTTCCAAACTTGTTTTCACTGAAAGCTCAGCCTTCGTGTAATCATGAATTCCCCTTTCCCACGTCCTTGCACCCTATGACAGATCTAGTTGTATTTGGAAAAACAAGAGTCAGACTTGTTGCAAGAATTCGGGTTGCAGTTTACTGTTCCCCTTTCAGTGTGTGAGTACAAATTCAGTCTTCTCCAGGAATATTTTGTTCCGAGGTAAGTTCCAGAGAAGCCTGACCTTCTCAATGGGATATGTGTTTCATGTGGTTTTTCAAACCTCACAGGGTGCCAAAGCATGCTTTCTTCGGGACATTCCTTTCTCGGCCATCTACTTCCCATGCTACGCCCATGTGAAGGCTTCCTTCGCAAATGAAGACGGGCAGGTTAGCCCAGGAAGCCTGCTTTTAGCTGGTGCTATTGCTGGTAAGTCTTATAAGTACTGCTGTCCCTCACCCCTTAGTCCCGCCACCCCTGCCGACTCCCAAACCCTCCCTTTCTAGCCCTACCTCCACCCATGCTGCAGAAACAGGATTTTGTTTTCTGATACTTTTTTACTGAGTCCACATGACTTTCTTTGAATAACTTTTGGGAGCAGATAAGAAGTTAATCTTTACTTTGCCAAGTTAGGTTATTAGGTGAACTTTAGCTTTTAGAAAGTATTTGGTTGATTTTTATTTATTTGTTTGTTTCTTTATTTTCTGTGATCCAGGTAGATTCTAATTCAAATTCCGTATTATTTCCTAATTACATACAGTAGCACAAAAATGAAAATGGTTTGGCTTGAACTTTTTTAAACTGTAAATGTTTGTACTCTAAAGGTTATCTAAACAAATTATTGCATGTAAGCGTGTCCAGAACTTAAGCAAAATTTATTATTGTTTAGAAGTGACCAGAAATAGCTGCCAGGCCAGGGGCGAGGTGTGTGTTAAGTAAATCATGGAAGTAACTGTCTTCCACCTTTAGTTCCAAGCTGCACAAATTGGAACTAATACATAGAAAAATAGGGAATTAAAAATAGGTACCTATGACCAGCACAGTGGGGACCAACGTTTAGCATTTGTGAATCTCCTTATCCAGAGAAGCTAAGGGCTAGATCTGGCTGGACTAGCTCTCTAAATGTTAACAAACACATCATGAGGGGTTTTGTTGTTGTTGTTGTTGTTTTAACAAGAACAAACAAAAAAATACCTAGGGCAGTCCTGGGCTTCCTGGCTCCAAAACCTTTTTCGTAGACATGTTGTTCTAATCAGGTTGGAGTTTAAACCTATTCCTAAAAACCAAGATGGGAGGTGAACACCCGTCTTTGAGTTGCTACTTTGTGGCTCCCCTCTACTGAAGGAACCCCTATGGCAGGAAGCCACATCACTTCTCCTTTATCTTTAATCTCCGTTTCCCAAAGGCATAGATGCTGGTCTGTGAGCTAGGGCTGCTATGTCCTGGGTGATTGAGGATTTTAGTTATTTGAGTAATGAGACCCAAAGACCAACACTGAAGGAAGCAAAACCTGGAATACAGAATTCTTGATTTCATTTCCAACTCATGCATTTATTCACTGTGCCCTGAGTGGTCATTTATGTACATAAAAGTGAGGAAAAATGGAGAGAAAGCATTAGACAATCTACTTCAAATTGCCTAATTGAAATAAGGTAGGGCCAAGGGAAAAATAAGGACTACTTATTGATGCATGCATGACCTTTGGCAAGTTGTTACTTCCCCAGGTTTGATTTCCTCAGCTTTGAGTAGAGATAACACTATAGAGTCCAGTGTGTGTCACAGGGGTTGGGAGGTAGCCCCAACGAGGGCTCTTGGCAGTTTCAATCATGTAACATGTATGCAATAAACTCAAGACTGAATCTAGACTCTAGGGGAATGGGCCCATAAATCCCTCCACAAGTACCAGATATAAGATTAAAATGAATATCAGAAGTCAGGTTGGGACTGAGGACTCTTTCTTAACCTTGTTTTCCTCAAACTATAATAACTATTTAAGTCTTCTCTCAGGGAAAACAGGCACTGGGAGCCAGTTGTCTGTCTGGGAAAGAATATGCTAGATAGTCCATGTTTCTAGAGCCAAACGTTTGCTTTCTTTTCTCTTATTTTTTTCCTGTCTATGAAAGCAATATAGCTCACTGTAAAATATTTAGAAAGGGTAAATAGTATCTGTGATTCTGTTACTGGAAGAGAGTCTCTATTTAACTTACAATTTTTATTACAATTACTCATGCGTTTTAAGAAGGTGTGTATGAACTGTAACTAATATAAAAAATAAATAATAATAATAATAGATATGTGCCCTCGTACACAGAACTCGGAGGACAAGTTGAGGGAGTCAGTTGACTATGGACTATGTGGGCTCTCAGGGGTCAAACTTGGATTGGCAGGCATGGTGGCCGTTGCCTTAACCCCTGAGCCATCTCACTAGCCTTTTTGCTTTTTCTAACTTTAATGTGTTTTGATGGAGTTTCGTTCACACTGTACCTGTTATTTGCACTGCATCTCGTCAGCATTGCTGACTGTTGTAAGGTGATGGTTAGTGGCATGTGCTGTGGAATCAGATTCCGTGGGTCAGATTCACCTCCTCACTTAGACTTCTGTGCCCTACACAAGTCATTGACTCCCTCTTGGCACACTTCTTCAAGTTTGGGGATAAGAACAGTCTTAGCCTCACTGAAGTATTGCCAGAATAAGAAGTATTATGGAATAAAAAGACAAAGATTTAAAATAGTTGCCGTTATGTCAGTATTCAGAAATGTTCAACTATAGTGTTTTTCTTGTATATAATTTTAAACTCCTTAAACATAGTTTTAACTGCTGAATAATCATATCCCTATTTTATTATAATTTTTGAGATTATAATTATATTACTTCCCATTCCCTTTTCACCCTGTAGTCCTTCCTATGTCCCCGTTGTCGCCCTGTTCTGTTTCAAATTTCGGAGCTCTTTTGCTATAATTGTTACAAAAGTGTGTGTATATATGTGTGTTCTAAATATATTCATTCAACCTGCTCAGTCTGTATAATGTTATATGTATACATATATATTTTTCAGAGTTGACCATTTGATGTTGGACAACCAATTGGTATGCCCTTCCTGGGGGAAGACTGTTTCTCCTGCTTTTAGCTTTCCTTGCATGCTTCTAGTTTTGTTTTGTTTTTTGTTCGTTTGTTTGTTTGTTTGTTTGTTTTGTTTTGTTTTGTTTTTAGTTCATGTTTAGGCAACCATGTTGTTAAGACTTCTTGCAGACACTTTCTCACAGCAAACTTTTGTTCATCTGGCTCTTGCAATCTGCCCTTCTTCCACAAATATCCCTGAGCCTTAGTTACAGAAGTTGTTGTGTAGATCTATCAGTTGGGGCTGGGATCCACAACTCAGCATTTGAATCAGTTGTGGTTTTGTGTAATGGTCTTTGTCTGTTGCTAAGAGAAGTTTCCTTGATGAGGGGTAAGAGCTACAGGTATCTACCCGTATTAGGATAAATGTTTAGAATGTAGTTATGGGTTATGCTTGTTTAGTGAACTGGCAGTTGTAGGCCCTAGTCCTAGGTAGTTGGCTAGGTTTCCAGCAGAAGGCATGATTTCATTGCTTGTTGATGAGGCCTTACGTCCATTTGGAGAACTGTTGGTTGTCACCAAGGTATGTATGCTATGGTTGCACCCTTAGGATCATTATGTCATGGCAGTTGGTGTGCTCAGAGCATCATAGTTGGGTAGTACTATTGGTTTCTCCTCTCCTTTAGAAGTTGCATGTTGCCTCCCATGAAAGATGGGAGGAGGCTTTCAGGTCAGATCCCAGTTCTGTTTCTCTTGGTTCTGTGTCTGAGGTGCTTGGTATCTTCAGCAATAGAAACTTAACCTTTCTTCCCTAGGTAGCAACCAAGGATGCCAACAATAGCCTCTAATGTTTTGGCAGTCTCTTAGACAACACTGACCAACGACTCAAAAGAGGGAGTTTCATGCCTTGTGCTAAGGTTCTTATTAGAGAGTACATGGATCTTGGGGGTTGGCATTGTCAGCTCAGGTGGGAAAACTTCATTTAAACTACTTGTGAATATTATACACAGACATATATATTATATTCATTTTTCAGATATCCTTAGTTATCTTACTCTCCTCTCTCCCTCCACTCTTAGTAAAGCTCCTCTGCATTCCCACATCTGTCTCCTTCTTTATTTTCCTAGTTTTTATATACTTCCTTCCACCAATTTGGAGGTAGGAATATCAGAAGAGAGAAAACATGTAGCATTTGTCTCTCTTTGTCTGGGCTACCCCGCTCAATATGTTCTTTCTTAGTTTCATCTAATTACTTGAAAATGTTACTTTGCAGCTGAATAGTATTCCATTGTATTATTCAGCGTTCTCTAGGGAAACAAACTCTGTGTGTGTGGATAGGTAGGTAGGTAGGTAGGTAGGTAGATAGATGGATGAATAGATGAATAGATGGATAGAAAGAAAATGTATTGGAATGACATACAGGCTGCAGTCCAGTTACTCCAACAATGACTGGCTATGAACAGAAAATCCAAGAATCTAGTAGTTTCTCAGTGCACAGTGATGGATGTCTCAGCTGGTCTTTGGTATATGCTGGAATCCTGAAAAAGTGTGCGCTAATGCCAGTGAAGGAATGTATGTGCCAGCAAGTTGAGGGCAAGCAGGCAGAAAGCAAGAACTTCCTCCTTCGATTCTTTATATAGACGACCAGCAGAAGGTATGACCTGCATTAAAGATGGGTCTTCCCAGCTCAAGACCCAGATCAAAGATGTGTCTTCCTACCTCAAAGGCCCAGATTAGAAGTGGACTCACCCACTCCAGACCAAGCAAAAACATCTTTTACAGGTGTGCCCTCCATTGCTGTTTATTCAGATTAGTCAAGTTGACAACCGGTAACGACCAGCGCCTCTATGGTGCACAGTACCACATTGTTATTATCTATTAGTCAGTCGAAGGATGTTTAGGTTGTTTGGATTTTCTTGCTGTTGTGAAGTGAGCAGCAGTGAACATGGCTAAGCAAGGTTCTGTCAAAATCCACATGTACAGGTCTCATAGCAATGAAAATTAAAGACAGCATCTCCTCTTACACCTGTATCTATCTGTCCTGTGCAAATATCTGCCAATGAGAATTACCCTGATGCACTCCAGGACGCATAATCTTAATCTCAGTCACAAATGTTATCAAAACATTTCCTAAATTAAGACACAAAACAGCTTAATTAACTTAAAAGGGGACTGAACTTGAACAGAAGAAATGCCTGAGTGATGGCCAAGAAAACACAAGTGTAAAGCTGATGGTAACGATGAAGACAATCTAGGATTTTAAAATAGAGTTCACTAAAGAGATGATATACTTCTTAATCATAGATACTTAGAACTGTCCAAATTACTGAAACTTCTATATAAGTGATTTTACCAAAACAAAGCAAATCTTT